GGGGGGCGGCGGGCCAGCCGCGGCGCGTCTGGGCTGTCCGCTGCCTGCGTGCTCCCCGGCTTTGCTCCCCGTCTCCCTGGTCTGGGGAGACGTGGAGCAAAGCCGCGGAGCACGCGGGCAGCAGGCAGCCCAGATACGCCGCAGCTGTCTCGCTGCCGGCGTTCTCAGAGGCTTTGCTTCCCGTCTCCCTGGTCTGCTGGTCTCCAGCAGACCAGGGAGACAGGCAGCAAACCCCATTCGTAACTGCGGATCCGACATAAGTCGGATCCGCGTAACTCGGGGACTGCCTGTAATATCAAAATAGCTTGTCCACACTACTGGGAAGCCTCAAAATTAGTCCAAGGCAGGCTCTATTAATGTGGAAGTGCTACCGGGATCTAGAGCCCCATGAAGCACTCGGGAGTAATTAGTTTGAATTACTCTGGGGAGTAGTTATTTTGAAATAGGCAGCGGAGCGTCCATACTACCACTATTTTGAAATAACTATTTCGGAATTAGTGTTGTTCCTCATGGAAAGCAGGAGTCATTATTTTGAAATAACCATTCCCTCATTTCAAAAAATACGGGCTTGGTAGTGTGGACACTCCACTTGTTTTAGTGTAGACCAGGGCTTACAGACTAACAGATTTATTAGGGCATAAACTTCATTATCAAGGCATATTAAGAGGATGCCCTAATATAATCTGTTAGTTTCTAAGGTGCCACAGTACTCCTCTTTTTTTCATTAAGGGCACTTTTGAAAACATTGTATCTAACAGTCTGTTCCCTGAAGGACTGTTGCTGCTTTAGAGCCATCTACTGGTATAAGCACTTTATAGTCCAGTGCACTTGAGCAAATGTCCCCACTTCCCTTGCAAGTTATTTGGAGAGCACGTAAATGTACTTTACTTTTATTCAATTTTATTTTTCTGAATGAGTCAGTTTCCCCCCCCCCCCCCAGCCAGAACAAAAGTGCCTGTTCTGAAGATAGCGTTTAATTAGAAGCTACGTTATCTTGAAGCGTTACCACAAAAGAAGAAAAATCTTTCTTTAGTGTCTGGTGAATGTTACTTAAAAAATATATTGGAAATGATTGGAGCTTAAAGGGATTGCGTTAATCCAGACACAGAAGCCTGTCTGGAAAACACAAGACTCTAAAATAAATGTATATCCAAATATTAGGCTTTAAACAGAGGTCAAATTTTGAGTGTGAACATAATTCCTTTTAACCTTTTTCTGTATCTTGTAGCTCTTATAATCACAGGTGGGGGTGGGGAGAGGAGGTGTAGGGCATAAACTGAACTACCTAAAGTATTTGGATTTAAAAAAAGATGAATCTAGTTTATGTGAATAAGTAGCCTCTGACACATTAACAAGGATAAAAAGGTCTTTCACGGGCATGCAATAATTTCTCTTTGGGCTCAGGAAGTTAGCCCTCTTTTCTTGATGATGTACAGTATTGTACATTTAAGGAAAGAATGAAAACATATTTGTACTATAATTTACCTGACTTCAGTGAAATTAGGAGACAGGATACTGGAGCAGATCAAGAATTATTCGTCTGTTCTGCTAAGGTAGCTCCTGATGTGTTTCTGCTTTGACTGTGCTGAATGGAACTCTCTTGTCCTTTTAGGATGTAGAAGAATGGAATATAGGGAATCTGAACACCCTGTTGGACATGGTGGAGCATGAGTGTGGGATTATCATAGAAGGTGTGAACACTCCCTATCTTTATTTTGGCATGTGGAAAACAACATTTGCATGGCATACTGAGGACATGGATCTCTACAGCATCAACTACCTGCATTTTGGGGAGCCGAAATCCTGGTAAGTGGGCAGAATGTTGAGAGAAATAGTTATGAACCCTTGTCTCTATTTGGACACTAACCTAATCTCATGTTCTACTTGTATTTAAGGTATTCTGTATTATCTCATTATACAATCTTGATAGGAATTTCAGTGAATATATTGGGTCATAAAGTTGACCTCACTGTCTGTTAGCACCCCTTACACTTCAGGTTATACTGACACAAACAACTTGCTTCTTCCATTGAACAAACTTTTTTCTTTTTTTCCCTTCTTTTTGCCTTCTCTTCACCTCCCCCCCCAACTACTTTTTTAGAAACTGGACCTTTAATAACATCATTCATCTGAAGAAGTGGCTTATGCGCACGAAAGCTCATGATACCATCGACATGTTTTGTTAGTCTCTAAGGTGCTGCAAGACTATTTGTTGTTTAAGTTTTTTACTGAAAATCCAGTCTACATTGGCATTCATTTGTGGGCTATTCCAGCAGTGATTGCTCTCTCTCTCTCCTCCCACTCTATCTCCTACTTGCCATTTGAATACATTATCTTTATTTCACTTGTCTATCTTGCTGTCTCACTTGAAGTATAAGTCCTGGCCCTGACATTCTTGTTTTAAGTTGTCTATAAGAGAAAAGGACTCTTGAGAGGGGAAGGGGCTAAAAACAGAACTCTGTTTTAACAATTGAGGCTTTTTGGAGTTAATGCACAGATATGACACTTCGAGATACATAAGCAAACAGTGATGGTGAAACATGAGCAATGCGAAAGCACTTTGGTATTAAAACACTGCTGTCCTCTGTGGGGCAGAAATAATCTATTACCTTACACTTCCTCTATTCAGTATGTAAAATATTTCCAATCTCCCATGTCTTCTGTGGGGAGGGAATTAATTCTTCCTGGAAGATTCTTTTAACCAGCATGTTAACTAATTTTGGGGGGTGTTTATGCATTTCCTGGTTAGACCTCACATTCTGTGGCAATGATCAATGAATAGGGATGCAATGAGGAAGTTAGGGGAGATGGAATTGAATAGGTGACAAAAAGCCTGTATACTTGGTTTCCGCCGGCCTCCTGCTGTTTAAAAGTATAACCAGAGAGACGTGGTGACCCAAAAGAGTGATTTGCAGGGGATCTTGATGTGACTAATAAATATTGACATTTGCATGCAAATTAACACTTAAATGTCACAGTACAGCTCTCATCACTGTGCCCTGGCACTGGCAGACAAAATCTTCACCTCTCAACAGTATGAGTCCCCAGTGATGCCACTTATCTCCAGGCTGATAGAGCCTGTGGGTGTATGAGAGTTAGCAGGAGCAAGGAGCTTGTCATGAATAAATATGGTGTTCCTTTACAATGCAGAGACTGTGAGAAGGAGGGGCTGGACTGTGACACATTTAACTGTAGTCTTTGTGCAAATCTTTAACATCTTCCATTGGATGATGCAGTGTCTTTTTTCTGGCTCACCTGACTTGACAGGCAGAGGTGAGAGAACTTACAGCGCAGTTATGCTCTCTCTGATAAACTGGTGTGACCTGAGGAGAAGTGGATCTGTTGGCTCTGAATAAAAAGTGACAAACTTTCATTTTAGATCCCATCAATTTGTCCGTCTTTGGAATCAGTACATCTAAACTCATCTTTATTTGGTCTCTGGTCTCCACTAGGTGGTGCTAGAGTTGCATCAGAAACATTTACAATACTGTCCCTTGACCACATAGCCGTGAACATGAGCAAACATAAAACAGAACATTTTGGTCCTGGTAGTCTAAAATAACACTATATGTATGTTGTAGGGATGTAAAATCCTGGTTCCCTTACGTTTGGGGCTGTTGGCTGCCATTGCTAGCCCCCCTTTGCTTGAGGCTGCTGCATTTAGGGCTGCCAGCTGCTGGCTGCCCCTTGTGCAGTGGGGCCGGGAGCAGGCGCCAGCAGCCCCAAGCAGGAGGGGGCCAGCTTCTGTTCGCGTGCCCCCCCCTCCCACTTCCCCATGTACCTGGGGCATCTGGCTTCTGCTCCTGACCCCTGCGGGGCTGCTCCCAGGTACCAGTTAACTGGTACCTGGTAAGCATCACCCTTAAAGGGTGATGCATACCTGGTAACCAGTTTAACCATTTACATCCCTAATAGGTTATGCATACAATGTATCTCTAATGTCAACAGGGTTTGCATTGAGGACATGTAGTTTTAATGATACTCAGTTCTTTTTCCTTTTGTGTTTTGAGTTTTTCATTTTGTACTAGGGATGTAAAAATGTAAATGTGTACATGGTTAACAGATAAGGCTGGGCTCATCGGTTAATCTTCATGGTTAACCACAGGGGCCCCTCACACCTGCAACAGCACAGGGAGGATCAGAGGCAGCAGCGCTGGAAGGTGGAAGCTGGCTTTTAAGTCAGCTCCCCATATGTACTGGCTCCCATGGAGCATCCCCCATGCTGCTGCCTCTGTATCAAACGGGAGCTGGTGCTCATGGGGAGGTACCTGCCCCCACCCTTCCACTGCATTTGATACAGGAGGAGGGGCAGTGCACAGAGAGCCAGCTTAAAAGCTCCCTGTGTAAAGTTTCAGCAGTTACCCGTTTACCTAAATAAATGCATTTTAACATCCATACTCTGTAACAAGAAGAGGACTGTTGCCTTCAGAAAACAAGAATGGATCCATTTTATCTCTGCGAGAATCATAGGTCCAGCACCAAAACTGTAGCTGCTGCTTTGTATACAAAGATCCTGAATTTAATGGATGAAGATTTAAGAATAGAGTCTAGCGAAAAGAAGCCATTTAAAGTGGCACCATGGGTATATGTGGCCTAACTTCAAATGTTGCTCTTCTACCGTGCATCTTTCCAGTTTCACAGTTGTTGTTCGTCCATCGTATTCGAAGAGGACCTTGACATCTAACGGGTTATGGACTGTTCATGGTGTGTCCGCAAATGGCTGATAAGGCCGATACGGGCACGGAATGTTCTACCACATGTCGGGCAGACTTAAAGTGAATATATTGGGTCATAAAATTGACCTCATTGTAAGTTAGCACCCTTTGCTCCTTAGAGTAGTGTAATACATAAGAAAGGCCATACTGGGTCATAGAATCATAGGACTGGAAGGGACCTCAAGAGGTCATCGAGTCCAGCCCCCCGCCCTCAAGGCAGGACCAAGCTCCGTCTACACCATCCCTGACAGATGTCTATCTAACCTGTTCTTAAATATCTCCAGAGAGGGAGATTCCACCACCTCCCTTGGATCAGTATTCCAATATTTGACCACCCTGACAGTTAGGAATTTTTTCCTAATGTCCAATCTAAACCTCCCCTGCTGCACTTTAAGCCCATTACTCCTTGTCCTGTCCTCAGAAACCAAGAGAAACAAATTTTCTCCTTCCTCCTTGTGACACCCTTTTAGATATTTGAAAACCACTATCATGTCCCCCCTTAATCTTCGTTTTTCCAAACTAAACAAGCCCAGTTCATGAAGCCTGGCTTCATAGGTCATGTTCTCTAAACCTTTAATCATTCTTGTCGCTCTTCTCTGTACCCTTTCCAATTTCTCCACATCTTTCTTGAAATGTGGCGCCCAGAACTGGACACAGTACTCCAGCTGAGGCCTAACTAGTGCAGAATAGAGCGGCAGAATGACTTCACGAGTTTTGCTTACAACACACCTGTTGATACAACCTAGAATCATATTTGCTTTTTTGGCAACAGCATCACACTGTTGACTCATATTCAACTTGTGGTCCACTATGACCCCTAGATCCCTTTCCGCCATGCTCCTTCCTAGACAGTCGCTTCCCATCTTGTATGTATGGAACTGATTGTTCCTTCCTAAGTGGAGCACTCTGCATTTCTCCTTATTAAACCTCATCCTGTTTACCTCTGACCATTTCTCTAACTTGCTAAGGTCATTTTGAATTATGTCCCTATCCTCCAAAGAAGTTGCAACCCCACCCAGTTTGGTATCATCTGCAAACTTAATAAGAGTACTCTCTATCCCAATATCTACATCATTGATGAAGATATTGAACAGTACGGGTCCCAAAACAGACCCTTCTATCCACGATGACTCCAAGATCTCTTTCCTGATTAGTTGTAGCTAAATTAGCCCCCATCATATTATATGTATAGGTAGGGTTATTTTTTCCAATGTGCATTACTTTACATATATCAACATTAAATTTACAGTCTGCTTTGGTCTTAACTACCTTGAGCAGTTTAGATTCGTCTGCAAACTTTGCCACCTCACTGCTTACCCCTTTTTCCAGATCATTTATGAACTTGTTGAATAGGATTGGTCCTAGGGCTGACCCTTGGAGAACTCTACTAGTTACCCCTCTGCATTCTGAAAATGTACCATTTATTCCTACCCTTTGTTTCCTGTCTTTTAACCAGTTCTCAGTCCATGAAAGGATCTTCCCTCTTATCCCATGACAACTTAATTTACGTAAGAGCCTTTGGTAAGAGACTTTACGTAAGAGACTTTGTCAAAGGCTTTCTGGAAATCTAAGTACACTATATCTACTGGATCCCCCTTGTCAACATGTTTGTTGACCCCTTCAAAGAACTCTAATAGATTAGTAAGACATGATTTCCCTTTACAGAAATCATGTTGACTTTTGCCCAACAAATTATGTTCTATGTGTCTGACAATTTTATTCTTTACTATTGCTTCAACTAATTTGCCCGGTACTGATGTTAGACTTACCGGTCTGTAATTGCTGGGATCACCTCTAGAGCCCTTTTTAAATATTGGCGTTATATTAGCTATCTTCTAGTTGTTGGGTACAGAAGCTGATTTAAAGGATAGGTTACAAACCACAGTCAATAGTTCTGCAATTTCACATTTGATTTCTTTCAGAACTCTTGGGTGAATGCCATCCGGTCCCGGTGACTTGTTACTGTTAAGTTTATCAATTTCTTCCAACATCTCCTCTAATGACACTTCAGTCTGTGACAAGTCCTCAGATTTGTCACCTACAAAGGACAGGTCAGGTTTGGGAATCTGAAGCAAAGAATTCATTTAGTTT